GACACTGCCACCAGTATCGGGTGCAGGCCTTCAACACCTCACACCCGGATTACCTGCTGGTGGGCCAGCCTTCCTCAAGTCTCTCCTCACTCCAATCTACCCTCTATTCTGCCACTAAAGTGATTTTCCTAAAATGCAGGCCTGATTATGTTACCTCCACTACTCAACAAACTCCAGTGGCTTCCTGTTGCCTCTAGGATCAAACATAAAACGCTCTGGCATTCAAAGTCCTTCATAATCTAGCCCCCTCCTACCTTTCCAGTCTTCTTACATCTTATCCCCCAACACGTACTATTAGATCCAGTGACATCGACCTCCTGGCTGTTCTACAACAAGACACTCCTCTCTCTGTTCTAGGCATTATCTCTGGCTGTCTCCTATGCTTGGAATGCTCTCCCTCCTCTGCTCTGACTACTGACCTCCCTGGCTTCCTATAAGTCCCAAATAAAACCCCACTTTCCATAGGAAGCCTTCCCCAACCCATCTTAATTACAGTGCCTTCTCTCTGTTAACTATTTCCTATTTATTCCGTATATAGCTTCCTTTGTATGTATTTGTTTGCATGTTGGCTCCCCTATTAGATTGTAAGCTCCTTCAGGGCAGGGACTATCTTTTGCCTCTTTTCGTATTCCCCATGCTTAACAGTAGCTGGTACATAGTAGGCACTTAATAAATGTTTATTGATTGACTGATTGACTTGCCAAATGAAAGGATTGGCTTAGATGATCAGCAAGGTCCTGCCATACCCTGACACTCTTTGAATCTGTGTCCTCCAGTTGTCTTTTCTCTTTTTGGGCTGTATCCCTGAGACCTCACTGCTAGGGTCAGATTATGGGAAGGAGAGAAAGGGCTTTTCAGAAGAACAGATCCTCCCTCAGAACAGGCTCTGCCAGTGCTGCTTTGGGCAGTAGCACTGGCCCCCAGTGGCCTAGGGGCTAGCCTCTGGCCTGGTGCTTAATGGACTGGGGCTGTGATAAAGATAGACCCCCAAGGGCTCTAGCCCAGAGAAGACAGAAAGGCTAAAGCAATGTGAGAAACTTATTGGCCTAGGAGAAGTTAAATGTATTCACTTACAGAAAAATGCAGCTGTGGTATAGCTTAGATGTATCAAACACCCACAACATTGAGTATGGCCTAAACTAGTTGTTCAGTTGTTTTTCAGTCACACATGACTCTTCGTGACCCCATTTGGGGCTTTCTTGGCAGATACTGGAGTGGTTTGCCATTTCCTTCTCCAGCTCATTTTACAGCTGAGGAAACTGAGGCAAACAGGGTTAAGTGACTTGCCCAGGGTCACAGTCTCTGAGGCCAGATTTGAACTCAGGAAGATGAGTCTTCCTGACTTCTGGGCTAGCACTCTAGCCTGTGCTAGACTTCTGGGCTAGCACTGTGCCTCCTGGCTGCCCTGGCCCAAACTAGATTAAAATGTAATATGAAAATGAATTATTTAACAAAATAAATGAAAATGCAATAAAACATAGATAATACTAATATTTAGTTTTCATATGCGAATACAAGACTTGTCAACATGTGACTTGAAGGGATCATTATATACGCTTTAATGGCCCCCATTTCTATCTGAATTTGATACCACTGGCATAGGTGAAAGAACAGAGAACTTGAAATTAGATTGGGGCTTCAGTCTCTGCTCTTCACTTACTGGGTGTGTGAGCATAGGCAAGCCCCTTCACCTTTCTGGGTCTCAGTTTCTTCATCTGTAAAATGAGAGTCAAATGAGAGAGCATGAGGCCCCTTCTGGCTCTAGTTCTAGGATCTTGTGAACCTATCCGAGCCTCATTTGCTTCCTCTGTGAAACAGGGTTGATAACCACCTGTGTGGCTATGTGGCATAGCGGATAAAGTGCTGGGGCCTGAAGTCAGGAAAACTCCTTCTCTTCCTCAGTTCAAATCTGGTCTGACACTTCTTAGCTGTGTGACCCTGGGCAGGTCACTTAATCCTGTTTGCCTCAGTTTCCTCATCTGTAAAATGAGCTAGAGAAGGAAATGGCAAACCACTCTAGTATCTTTGCAGGAAGAGTTGGACATGACTGAAACGACTGAACAACAACACCTATCTCAGTTGTAAGAAAAAAAAACCAGTATCTAAATGTGTTACTTATTAAAAGTTTTATGGAGTGGAATTCTTCTTTCCTTTTTGGAAAAGAGGTACAAGAACAGAATAGTCACAGAGAAGGAAGCCACACAGCCTGGGATCCTGACACCCAGCCAAAAGGAAGGGCATTGCTAATTGTCACTCTGGGGCCTCCTTCTGGGAGCAAGGGGGATTCAGAGAATCATAAATTTAGAGCGATAAGGGACCGCAGACACCACCTAGCTCCACTCCCTTATTTTATAGACAAGGAAACTGAGGTCATGGGAGGCGAAGTGCCTTAGCAAAGGCACACAGAGACTTCGGAAGAACTGTTATTCAAAGTTAGGTGCTGCAACTCCAGAACTTGTGTTTTCCACCTCACCACGATGAATTGAGTAATTTGGGACCAACAGGTGAGAAGGACTTTCCATGGGAATTCTTTAGAGCTGCTAGCGAAGGACTTCCTGATGTGGTAAAGTAGTGAGAACAGAGGGCGTCTGATGTTTTGGTCTAGGGGAGTTATGTAGTAGACTCAGTCTCCAAATATAGCTTGTTGGGAAAATTCTCAAGAGTTTGTTTCTGTTCCAAGCGGAGCGTGTCTACCTGATTTTTTTCGGGGGGGAGGGGTATGTTGGGTTGTCCCTAAAGATATGGCTTAGAATGGGTTAGAGCATTAGCCAATCAAGATTCACCCCCACCTTCTCCCCAAGCCAAATTATTTGTATTACAGTCTGATTTCTGTATATCAACTATCAGGCTGTAAGTTTAAACTGCAATCTGCCAAGCTCTTCCCCTGTCTTCTGTTCTTGAGGAGTGTCCCATTACTCCTCCAGTTTCTAATTGGCCTTGAAACCACTGCTCTGGATTCACAGCTTTGAACTAATCTCTCCCGTAGGTGGGAAGGTGATGTAGTAGAAAGATCAGAAGCTGAAAGCCTGGGCTCCAGTCCCACCCAGTTCTGCAGCTAACTTAGGTTACTGAACTTCTCCAAACCTCAGTTTCTTCATCTGTAAAAGGGGTATAATCCCAGCCCTGCCTACCCCACCAAGTAATTATGAAGATCAAGTGAGATTATGGAAATAAGGACACTGAAAACTGTAAAGTGGTGGCAAATGAGAAGTATAATTACAATGTGAGACTCCTCACACCAGAAACCACCAGGGACAGGATCAAAGATTGTCCTCCAGTCTGGAAAGCTAACTCAACAGGACCGACCGGTAGACAAAGGAAACAAAGGTAGACAAAACGACCTTCCCTTTCAGCAACCAAGAATCTCCTTGCTTCCTACTAGACCACTCTCTACTTGTCTAGAGCCTTCTAAAAGAGTTGTGTTAGCCCAATGTAGATGACAAATAATTTGAAGCCTTGGCAATCGATGGGAAAAGTAGCAAAGGGGAGTTTTTTTTTAACAGGCCTTATCCCTAATACAAGTGTTAAGGGATGTTGGGGTACACAGCTTTCAAGCATCCCTGAATGGCCAAAGTGACAGGGACAGGAGGGAATTCTAAAACTCTAACTTGTATGCCTTCTGTAGTAGTCAAAGCCTTTCCTTCCCCTACAAATCAAGGCTGCTAATCTCACTACTCAAAAGTGCAGAAGTATTTGTGTTAAAACATAAAAGATAAATCTTTGGAGCCTCAGCACCTTCTACATATAGCAGGCGCTTAACCAATGTTTGTAAAACTGAATTAGGTACTTATTTACTTCGTGACTTTGGCCAAGTGATTGTGCCTCTCTGGGACTCAGTTTTCATGTTTTCAAAACAAGGGGAGTTGGATTGTATCTTTCCAATGCCTTTCTAGCTCCAGCTAAAAAGATGGACCTTGCACAGAAGCCAGGGGTTCCCTCAACAAGTCCTGTTCTCATTTTGAAAAAGCAAGCTCAACATTCATTTCATCACCCCTCTCTTATAAGGGCAAAGGTCTTACCACCAATACCCATTTTATTTATGGTGAAACTCAAGCCTGCAAAAGGCAAGGCACTTTTTAATTAACCCCGTTGAAACAATCTCTGTGGCCTAGAATCCAGGATATGAATGGGCCTCCTCCTAACATAAGTTATAGGACCGAGGATTTGGAATTCCATCCAACAAGCATTTATCAGATATCTACAATAAGACAGGCATATAATAGGCCTGCTAGGGTAGTAAAGTAAAAACCAAGTAATTGCTTCCATCAAGAAACTTACAATCTACTGGGGAAGAGACAACCTATACAGTAGGCTGTACACCTTTAAATAAATACACCACAAATATATGCACACAAAATTTTTTTTGGGGTAGATCACGGGGGTTAGCAGCGGCGTAATATTAAGAGCAGAGAGGCAGCTAGGTGGCAAAGTGGATAGAGCACTGGGTTTGGAATCAGGAAGACTCATTTTGAGTTCAAATCTGGCTTCTGACACTTTCTAGCTCTGTGACCCTGGACAAGTCACTTAACCTTGTTTGTCTAAGTTCCTCATCTGTAAAATGAGCAGGAGAAGGAAATGGTAAACCACTCCAGTATCTTTGCTAAGAAAACCCCAAATGGGGTCATGACCCAACTGAAAAACGACTTAACAAGAGGATGGGGGCTCCAAAGGGCACAACAAAAAGGCAGAGGGAGAGTGGGATAGGGAATACCAGAGGAACACTGGCAGGGGCCTCATCGATCATCTCTTCCAACCTTCTCATTTTACAGATTAGGAAACTGAGGCCCAGAAATGAGAAGCGGCTTGCCCAAAGCAGCCAGAGGCAGAGGTGGGCTCCGAACCCGGGCGCTCTGCCTCCCTCCGGCGCACTCCGAGGCCTCTTGTCGGGTTCACCGCGAAGCTCTCCAGGAGAGCTGGATGCGGAGCCCCGTCCTCCCCGCGTCAGCCCGGCCCAAGGCCCCGCCCCCAGGGGTGGGGGTCCCCTACCTCCCCCAACTCACTTGGCCGAGAGGGTGTTGATGGAGCCGGTGATCAGCATAAGCCCGGCCAGGAACAGCTGGTACTTGGTCCACGCCATGGTCAGGCGGTGCAAAGGCAGCTGCCCTGATGCTGCCGCCGCCGCCGCCGCCGGGGTCCGTGTGACTCCCGGGGCCGGGGGATGGGGACTACGGGCGGGGGCACCAGGGCTGACAGAACGCACTTCCCTTCCGGGCCGGCGGTCACCTGACCCACAGGAGTCAGCTGCCCTGGAGCCCCGCCCGCTGCCTTACCCCACCCCCCACCCAGAGGGCGCGCAGTCCCGCAGAGCGGAGAGGGAGGCACGAGTCGCGCGCACGTGCACGCGCGCCGCTCGGCATTCCAGAGTTCCCACTTCCCTCTCCGCCACCCTCCACCAGCACATCGTTGGTCTCTTCGCCCTGTGGTCTGAGCACGTGCTCTTAACTCTTGTATGCGATCGTGGGGTGGGGCAGGAATCTCTTCCCTTTTGGAAGGGCTAGGTAATTCTGTGCTTATCTTCATCAATCAGTCAATCAAACAGCAAGCATTTATTATGGACTGAGAAGTGCAGTTTCTACCCATTACAATCACATAGTGCAAAACCCTGGTAAGTAGATAGGGGACTATTTATGCCTATTTTACAGATGAGAAAACAAATTGTAGTATCAACCAACCAATAAATATTTATTAAATGCCTACTATGTGCCAGGGATTGTGTAAGCGCTGGGGATACAAAGAGTCAGACAGACCGTGGCCTCAAGGAGCTTACAATCTAAGGGATCAGGTGTAAAGTGTTCTATTTAGCATTTAAAGCCCTTCACAGAGGTGGAACTGTTGCATGTTACAACATGCAAACAAATATGTACAAATCAAGCTATGTACAGAATAGGTAAAAGAGGGGGAAAGCACCGGACATAAGAGGGGATAGGGAAGGCTTCCTGTAGAAGGTGGGATTTTGGTTGGCACTTAAAGGAAGCCTGGGAGGTCAGTTGTCAGAGGGTAGGAGGAAAAAGGGATTGTTCCTTAAGTACAAACTTGATTTTTTTTTTCCAGCCTTAGTAGTGGGTTGTTACTAAATGTTTATGAAAGTGGATAGACCCATCCATAGACCTGCAGTAAAGAAGATCTGAATTCATATATGACCTCAAACACTTACTAGATATGTTAACATCTGCCTCAGTTTCCTCAAGTGTAAAATGGGGATGATGATACCATCTACCTTGCAGGGTTGTTCTGAGGATCAAATAAAGATATGTGTAAAGTGCTTAGCATACTGTCTAGAATATAGTGTTTAAAAAAATGCTTATTCCCTTCCCCCCAGCACTTTGTGTGTATTCCCCCCCCCCCCCCCAATAAATGCTTGTTGGATGAACTCAAAGATCTTAAATGGAACAGTTTGCCCAGGGTCATCCTGCTAGTTGCTCATCTGGTAGAAAAGGGGCTTTCCTGGGATTGTAGCCCTAGAGACATACTGTGCCTCAGAGGTCATTTTAAAGATAAGGAAACTGAAACCCAAGAAGGTTATATAAATTGTCAGAGGTAGTACGGGTGGTAAAGGCACAATTTGAGCCCAGTACTTGGACTCTTTAAGACCAGGGTTCTTTGTCTTACTTGAAAATGGCTTGACCTATCTAGCGTTTTAATTACATAATCATGCTCCAAGTCTTTACTGCCAGACTTGGACCAGATTCTCTCTGGGACAGAGTCAGAAAACTCCCGTAAGAGTCTGTTCAGTGACCTGGGATCTGTTCCAGCCCCAGTCCCATCGATTTTGTTCCCCCTCCTCCCACCCCGCTCCCAATCTCAGAACAAATAGAGGAGAGAGTGCAGAGAGGAAGAGAAATGTGCCCATGTGCAGTTTTCTCCCCACCAAGAACAGATGATGACAACTTATGTCAGAAATATATGGAAGTGGTACATCTGCTTACACGTGACCTGTGCACAGACAATGATCCATATCCGGTCAGTTGTTGTCTTGTCCGTTCTGCCTTCACTACATTTCTCATCATTGTTCTCTTCTTTCTACTCCCAGAAACACAACTCTGATGTAGGCTTTCAAACTACAGCTTTGTTGTTGGGTTGTTAAGTCGTGTCCCACTCTATGTGCTACACCAGTTTTGCTCCTGAAGTGAGACTGTAGGAACACTAGCTAGCCTGGCTATTGTTAACTAAGATTAGACAGGGAACTATTTAGTCCAGGAAGCCCCAACTTCTGCTCATGGAATTTAGGAATATTCTACCCTCTTCTATTCTATTCTACAAACATTTATGAAATGCCTGTTTATGTACAGAGCACTTTTCCTGGCCTGAAGGATATACAAAATTTAGATAAAACATAATGTTGTTGTTCATTCTTGTCAACTCTTCATGACTTCACGTGGGGTTTTCTTGGCAAAAATACTGGTGTGGTTTGCCATGTCTTTATCCGGTGTGTCCCCATTTTACAGATTAGGAACTGAGAGAATAGGGCTAAGTGACTTGCCCAAAGTCCCATAGGTAGTAAGTTTTTGAGGCCACATTTGAACTCAGATCTTCCCGGCTCCAAGCCTATCGAATCCATCCTTCACTCTGCTGCCAAAGGGATTTTCCTCAAGTGTAGGTCTGACCACATCCCTCCCCACTCAAACTGCAATGGCTCTCTTTACCTCCAGGATCACATGTAAATTGTTCTATTTGGCATTTAAAGCCCTTCACAGAGGTGGAACTGAGATTGTGGAGTAGTAGGAAGAGGTTCAGCCAAGCTTCCTCCACAAAGATCCAGAAAACTCGCTATACCAAGTCCTGGTCATGAAATCTAAGAAAAAAATCCCGAGTGATTTTTTTCCTGCCCAGGTTTGCATAGGGAGACAAATAGAGAGGTATGCAGATATAGGGACGGGGTCTAGCCAGCAATGTCTGCACAGAGCATTCCAGTGCAATCTCTCACAATCGCCCAGATTTCTCACGGAGGGGCCTTAATTTCAGGAACTGGTGCTACCTGGCAGTTTTATCACTCATTACCCAGTTCTCAGAGATCCAGAGTGGACTAAGGAGGGAGAATGCATCTAGGGGTGGTATCCCCTGGCGAGGAGTAGTCAAGGGGCTTAGGCTATGTACTTTGAAAGGAGCAATGGCTACATGGCTCTGACCCCAGGGGTTGAGTGTATGTGTGGTGGTGGGGGGGAGAAGGCAGAGTGTCTCAGTTCTAGCTTCCAGCCCAGTCTGCAGCCTGCAGCCTGCAGCAGAATAATCAGAGCAGAAATTCCAGACCAAAGGAGAGCCTGCAATTCTATCCTTTTGAACCAGCAGAGCTTTCCAGCTGACTAAGGGTGGCTGAGTCTAGGGACAGTCTATTGGTACTCTGACTGAGCCAAGCTCATAGGCATATTACTCAGACCCAAATCCAGGTCAAGAACTTGCAGAGCTCAGACCAGGAGGATAACAATCAGGCTTTGCCCTGGATTTATCCACTTACGGAGCACTGAAAGCTTGCTGTTCCCCAGAGTGAGCTGTCTTGGAAATCTTGGAATTGACACAATACTCAGTGCCTCCAAGAAAGTAGCAGTAGGACCAGCCCAGGCATCTCCTCTAGAAATGAACAGAGCCCAGCCCTAACATCAAGTCCAAAGTCAGGAAGTAGGATAGAAGAATAGCAAACAAAAAGAAATCCCAAACATAAAAAGCTATTATGGTGACAGGGACACTCAAGATGGAAACACAGAGGAGAATGACTCCAAATCATCAAAGCAAAGACTCAAAGAAAAACATAGGTTGGGTATAAGTTCAACCAGAATTCCTGGGAGAGATGAAGCAAGAATTTTTTTTTAAATAGTATTTTATTTTTTCCAATTACATGTAAAGACCATTTTTAACATTTATTATAAAAAAATCTGAGTTCCAAATTTTCTTCTTCCTTCCTTCTTCTCCACCCTCCCTAAAAGGTTAAGCAATTTTATATAGATTATAATGAAAGCAAGAATTTTTAAAGGAGTTAAAATGTTTTTATAAATGAAATAGAGACTATAGAAAAAAATGGGGAAAGAACTGAGAACTCTGGAAGAAAGAACTGGAAAGGTAATTAACAACTTGGCACAAGAGGTATAAGACCTAATCTAAACCACAAACTCCTTGAAAATTAGAATGGACCAAACAGAACCTAGTGCCTTCATCAGAAACCAAGAAATATTAAAACAAAATGGAAAGACTGAAAGACTAGAAGAAAATTTAAGATTCCTTGTAGCAAAAACAACTAACCTTAGAAAACAGATCACAGAGAGGTAATTTAAGAATCATTGAACTACTGAAAGCCACAACCGAAAAAAGAACTTGGATATCATATTTCGAGAAATAAAAGGAAACTGCCCAAATCTCTTAGAACCAGAGGGCAGAATGGAAATAGAATCTATTGATTACCTCCTGAAAGAAACTCCAAAATTAGAAGTAGGAACATTATAGTCAAAATCCAGAACTTTTAGGTCAAAGGAAAAAATACTGCAAGCAGCCCAAAAGAAAGAATTCAAATACTGGGGAGCCACAGTCAGGATCACTCAGGATTTGGCATGTTCCACTGTAAATGAGTGGCGAGTTGGAAATCTGATATTCCACAAGGCAAAATACAACCAACAAAGAACATTTTACCCAGCAAAACTGATTGTAATCCCATAGGGGAAAAGAATTTTTACTGAAATAGAGGACTTCCAAACATTTCTCATGGAAAGACCAAAGCTGTATAGAAACTTTGAAATGCTATGACCAACCATGATTCCAGAGGACCCATAATGAAATCTACCCACTTCCAGATTGAAAGGTGATGGGCTCAGAGTGCAGATGGAGACATATTTTTTTTTTTGAACATGGTCAATGCAGGAATTTGTTTTGTTTAACTGTACATGTTTGTAACACGGGTTTTGTTTTTCTGTCTTTCTTTGATGGAGAGGTGGAAGTGGGAGGGACAGAAAGTAGATTTTTCGTTGATTGAAAAAAAACTTTAAAAAACAGAACAAAAACAAAAAGCCCTCCACAACTTGTCCTCTTCCTACCTTTCCAGTCTTCTTATATTTTATCTCTATCACTTAACTCTGCAATCCAGCTATACTGACCTTCTTTCTGTTCCTCAAGCATGACATTCCATCTTCTGATTCTGTGTGTTTTCATGGGCTGTCCAACATGCCTGGAATGCTTTCCCTCCTC